TCATACACTCACCGGCCACTTTATTAGGTACACCTGTCCAACTGCTCGTTAACACTTAATTTCTAAGCAGCCAATCACATGGCGGCAACTCAGTGCATTTAGGCATGTAGACATGGTCAAGACAATCTCCTGCAGTTCAAAGCGAGCATCAGTATGGGGAAGAAAGGTGATTTGAGTGACTTTGAACGTGGCATGATTGTTGGTGCCAGAAGGGCTGGTCTGAGTATTTCAGAAACTGCTGATCTACTGGGATTTTCACGCACAACCATCTCTAGGGTTTACAGAGAATGGTCCGAAAAAGAAAAAACATCCAGTGAGCGGCAGTTCTGTGGGCGGAAATGCCTTGTTGATGCCAGAGGTCAGAGGAGAATGGCCAGACTGCTTCGAGCTGATAGAAGGGCAACAGTGACTCAAATAACCACCCGTTACAACCAAGGTGGGCAGAAGAGCATCTCTGAACGCACAGTACGTGGAACTTTGAGGCAGATGGGCTACAGCAGCAGAAGACCACACCGGGTGCCACTCCTTTCAGCTAAGAACAGGAAACTGAGGCTACAATTTGCACAAGCTCATGGAAATTGGACAATAGAAGATTGGAAAAACGTTGCCTGGTCTGATGAGTCTTGATTTCTGCTGCGACATTCGGATGGTAGTGTCAGAATTTGGCGTCTACAATATGAAAGCATGGATCCATCCTGCCTTGTATCAACGGTTCAGGCTGGTGGTGGTGGTGTCATGGTGTGGGGAATATTTTCTTGGCACTCTTTGGGCCCCTTGGTACCAATTGAGCATCGTTGCAACGCCACAGCCTACCTGAGTATTGTTGCTGACCATGTCCATCCCTTTATGACCACAATGTACCCAACTTCTGATGGCTACTTTCAGCAGGATAATGCGCCATGTCATAAAGCTGGAATCATCTCAGACTGGTTTCTTGAACATGACAATGAGTTCACTGTACTCAAATGGCCTCCACAGTCACCAGATCTCAATCCAATAGAGCATCTTTGGGATGTGGTGGAACGGGAGATTCGCATCATGGATGTGCAGCCGACAAATCTGCGACAACTGTGTGATGCCATCATGTCAATATGGACCAAACTCCCTGAGGAATGCTTCCAGCACCTTGTTGAATCGATGCCACCAAGAATTGAGGCAGTTCTGAAGGCCAAAGGTGGTCCAACCCGTTACTAGCATGGGGTACCTAATAAAGTGGCCGGTGAGTGTATATCAACGGTCATCTGTCAATCAAATGTTTTCAGTCATAGCATCTTGATTCATGTGTCGCAGCTAATATACGCAACGGTTGAAACCAGAATCCTTTCCTTTCCCATTGAGTTGCGTCCCAGTGTTCACGGGGATGGACGTCTGTGTCTCCGGCAGGCGTAGAGCTAACAGAACTGGCAGGGTTGCGAGGCAAGGGCTCAAACATGTACGGCTGGAAGCCTTCTACACCAAACCAAGCTTCTGCCGCCCTGGCGTCCTCTTCCACAACATCTTCGTCCCCGCTTTCCTCCTCTAAATAAAAAATGGATGACGGAGGAGACTCATCCACGACCTCCGACACTAAACTCTCCTCCTCTTGCATGTTTCCGCTGTCCATAGCGTTCCTTGACAGCGTCGTTTCTAAGTCACCAATTTAGTGCTACTTGGTCCCAATGGAATTTCCCATTGGGAACCTGCTAGCACTAAGATGCTAACTGGTTAGCAACTTAGTGCTACTTGGTCCCAATGGAATTTCCCATTGGGAACCTGCTAGCACTAAGATGCTAACTGGTTAGCAACTTAGTGCTACTTGGTCCCAATGGAATTTCCCATTGGGAACCTGCTAGCACTAAGATGCTAACTGGTTAGCAACTTAGTGCTACTTGGTCCCAATGGAATTTCCCATTGGGAACCTGCTAGCACTAAGATGCTAACTGGTTAGCAACTTAGTGCTACTTGGTCCCAATGGAATTTCCCATTGGGAACCTGCTAGCACTAAGTTGCTAACTGGTTAGCAACATGCTTCCCACAAACCGGCCACAACCAAACTTGCTTGCGAACCTCCCGCCACAACAATCCCGCCCCCTTGATAATCGACCAATCACATTCACTTTATTCACTCGTGTAAAGTCGTGCACCACTCGGGAGAATACGGAAATGCAACGGTTGGAACGGCCGCTTCCCTACGACTTTAAGAGCAACTATGCAAATGATCAAACATCTAGAAAAAATAGGATATATTCTATTATTTTCCACGTGAATCCCAGATTGTTCATTCTTCTGGGCCTTTTCGAAAAAGTGCTTTAAATCAGTCCTAGCTGTCTTTATCAGATCCTGACATTTGAAAACGGGGAGGAAAGAGCCAAAATTCCAGGGTCCCCAAAGCCATTCATTTTGGCGATGCTGATTGGCCAAATATTTATCATTATTTAGCGTCAAATCTAGTGACTTTTTTCTGCTACTGGAGACTTTGGAGACAACATCTAAAAGAAGCGAACTCTGCTCTCCAGAGCGAGTAGATTGGTAACCCCGCCTCCTGCTCTCCTCTATCTTGTCTGCTGTCATGATTCATGCAGCTATTATTTCATCCAAATGAAAAATGGAGAACAGATAAGCAGATCATGGCTTGTCTACAGTGAAAAGAAGGACTGGGTTATTTACTTTGGCCTTTTTGGAAACACAGGAAGGAGCAATCAGCTAAGTGAGCTTAGTGCTTGGAAAAAATCTTTCATTCCTTTAGAGACAGCATGAAAAGTCAGCTGAGTACAAAACATAGAGAGGAAAACAAGAAGAAAAGGGACAAGAAGAGAGGGACACAACCTAGAACAGATAATGGATGTCTATTCTATTAACATTTCTACATCTGGAGAATGGGGCTGTTTGATGTGTTGTCTTCTCAGTTCAGAGGGCCCCCTGCCTGTCTTAGCCTAGGGCCCCATTTTTCCTAAATCCGCCCCTGGCTATACATGCTGCAGATAAGAGAGTTGAGCTTTTTGAACCTGCTTCCTGTTTGGACCAAAGCTGCTCAGCCAGACATGGAATCAAACTTCCTTAATCTGCCCCTGAGCTTATGTAAGTCAGCGGTGGGTTTTATTTTTATTGCCATTGACATTTATTGCCACTGAAGTCATGACTTTCGACTGGTACTGCCACTCTGACATCATTATGATGCATCGCATTGGGAAAAAAAAGCGACTTGAAATTGAAACTCTGTATCTCAAACCTATGATTAGAAGAGTGATCAATGGAAATTAATGGAAATTAATGAGAAGGAAGCAATTGTTGGGAAATAAAAGAATAAAAGAAATAGAAAAAAGTCATTTGATTGCCCCAGTCCAGAGTCCAGTGTTTAATCTTTAGTCATGGGTCACGGATTATGATAAAACATGAAAGGACATCAGTGGAGGGTTGGGAGAATGGATCAAGCTGCCGTGGCAGCCATTAAAAATGTTTCCACTTTCCTTGATTTGATGGGCACCTGGCTGGTCCTTGGCTGTTCCTAGGCTAGTCATTGGCTGGTCCCTGGCTGATCCTTGGATGGCCCTTGGCTAGTCCTTGGCTGATCCTTGGGTGTCCCTTGGCTAGTCCTTGTCTGGTCCTTGGGTGTCCCTTGGCTAGTCCTAGGCTAGTCCCTGGCTGATCCTTGGATGGCCCATGGCTAGTCCTAGGCTAGTCCTTGGCTGATCCTTGGATGGCCCTTGGCTAGTCCTTGGCTGATCCTTGGATGGCCCTTGGCTAGTCCTTGTCTGGTCCTTGGGTGTCCCTTGGCTAGTCCTTGTCTGGTCCTTGGGTGTCCCTTGGCTAGTCATTGTCTGGTCCTTGGATGGCCCTTGGCTAGTCCTTGGCTGATCCTTGGGTGTCCCTTGGCTAGTCCTAGGCTAGTCCTTGGCTGATCCTTGGCTAGTCCTAGGCTAGTCCTTGGCTGATCCTTGGGTGTCCCTTGGCTAGTCCTTGTCTGGTCCTTGGGTGTCCCTTGGCTAGTCCTAGGCTAGTCCTTGGCTGATCCTTAGGTGTCCCTTGGCTAGTCCTAGGCTGATCGTTGGCTAGTCCTAGGCTGATCCTTGGCTAGTCCTAGGCTAGTCCTTGTCTGGTCCTTGGCTGATCCCCTATAATTCCTTTTTAACATCTAATTCAGTAAAGGATGGAGTCAGAGTTAAATATTCTCGCCCAGCAGGAGGCCAGTGGCTGGAAGTTGGAGGGGATTTTGTTGCCATTCGGCTGCTTTAGACAGGGAGGGGCCATTTTGAATGGCTGCTGCTGTAGCTAAATGATAATAATGATCAGAATTAAATTATTTATAACTATGATAACCAACAACCGTCTAGACCCGTCTATACCGCAGCTATTCCAGAAAAACAAAAGAAAAAAAATCAGACGTCTGTAAACGTATAAAAACTCTGACCAATCCCCGACATTCGGCCCAAATGAAAATAAAAAAACAATCAGATGTCCGTCCTCCTCATCAAGCTCGTCAGGTTCGGCTGTTTTTCATAACAGCTCCTCCCAAAACTTATATTTCTAAAAATAACATAATAAAACTTGCATGGTTCCGTCTTTCTGCTGGGAGTCAAAAATATGAACGTCAGAAAATGTAAATAAACTGAATGAAATGAATATTTAAGTTCATTCAGAGTCAGAAGTAGCTCTTTGGTTATGCGGCTAACTGGAAAACCAAAATATACCATGTAATACATTCATGTTAAAGTCTTATGAAATTTAAGATATATTTATCCAATTTAATGCTCCATTAAATTGTCAAAAGTACAATTAAATATTGTACTTTCAATAAAGTGTAACATTTATTTTGTTTATATTCATAAATAAACACAGCAGCGAGGTGTGTGTGGTATTAGCAATTATAATTATTTAAAAAATGAATAAAAGTAGAGGGGGGTAATAGGGGGCAGTTGCCCCGCTGTAGATCCGCCCCTGGTTAGACCCCCCCCCCAGGCTAATTATGCTGATTGAGCCTTTAGGTTTGTTTTTTTACGACTGAATAAAAATGTTCAGACGAGTCCAGACAAGACGAGCAACTTTATTAAAACTCTGAATTTTATTCCTTCACAGAGACGCACAGAGGTTTGTTTGGGGACGGGGCCCAATGTCCCCCCGTTAGACGTGTCCTTTCCAACCCAGCCCTGTGGTCATGGGCTCCTGACGACTCTAAAAGGAAGTCCGTGTCCAGGGATGATGACATCAGCGACGTTCAGGGCCTTCTGCCGGCTGACCTCCTGCGCCGCTGCGTTCAAACTCAGATCCCTCCAGGTGTCGTCATCAGAGCAGCGCTCGAATAAGTCCCCCGCTACGAGCACGGTCCCAGCGGACGTCCCCTTCACCTGGACGCTCACGTCCTGTCCCGTGTGTCCCGGGGTGGGAATTACTGACACCTGTGAGCGAGACAGACGGACCAGTTCAGCCTGGTTTCTGCTAAACCGGAGGTTTACACCTTCCTTATAAAATCACGACAAGTAACTGATGTTTTTTATAGTGTATAAAATATAATAATGTTAAATATATAATGTTTTCAAGCATCAGCAAGTGGGAAAAAGATGAAACTGTCACTTATTTGCTGCGACAGAGGATGTTGATAGGGAGTTGAATTTAATCCATTATTGTAACAAAGAACATGTTCTGTAAAAACAAGATCTGAACTCCAGAAATTAAACTTTTTAATCAAAATAAGTTTTTATAGAGAAACTCTGCTGTATTTCTCTCAAATTTATTTTTATATATTGTCATTTTTTGGTTGAATTTATGTAATTAAAATTCAGGAGCAAAAAGTGTTGAGCTTCCTTAAATAACCCCCGTTGCCGGGTCCTGAGAACCAGTGGGAACCGGTGGGAACCGGTGGGAACCGGTTTCAGCCAGTCCCACAGCATCCGGACTAAAGCAGGTAAAAAACTAGAAGTTATTCTTTGGTTTCTATGTTTTTAAGGCAGATTTCAGGCGTTCAATTTGTGTTACATTTCTGTATGAGAAATTCTACAGGTGAATTTTTCGATTTAAATTATTCAAGAGAATTTCTGAATGAATTTCTGCAGATACATTTCGTAGTCGTATTTGTTGCGTGAATGTTTGTACTTCCGTTTTTTTGTTGTATATTCGCAGCTTGTTTTCCTTTTCAAAAGAATTCTGCTGTTGAATTTTGCTATTTAAATTTTAGCAGGTGATTTTTTAAGGTGAATTTTCAAAGTGAAATTTTTGCAGATACTTTTTTGTAGTCGTATTTTTTGCGGGAATGTTTGTACTTCCATTTTTTTTGTTGTATATTGGCAGCTTTTTTTCTTATCAAAAAAATTCTGCTGTTGAATTTTTCTGTTTAAATTTTAGTAGGCGATTTTTTTACGGTAAATTTTTTCGATTTAAATTATTCAAGAGAATTTCTGAATGAATTTCTGCAGATACATTTTCGTAGTCGTATTTTTTGCGGGAATGTTTGTACTTCCATTTTTTTTGTTGTATATTCGCAGCTTTTTTTCTTATCAAAAAAATTCTGCTGTTGAATTTTTCTGTTTAAATTTTAGTAGGTGATTTTTTTTAAGGTGAATTTTCAAAGTGAATTTTTTGTAGATACTTTTTTGTAGTGTTTGTTTTTTACATGAAGGCAGATTTTTGTAGATTTTTTTGGAGGTGAATGTAGCTGAATATTGGACCCTTTTTTCCTTTTTTTTCTTATTAAAAATGTCTTCAATTGAATTCAGTTGAAATTTAAATCTCTGGTTGACCTTTGGTGACCTGGAGGCTTTAATTAATATAAAAATATGCTGTTTGCTCAAACAATTAACATAATTTTTCTTTGTTTTGAATAATGTTTGGGAATTCTGAAATTCTGAAACCTCCGAAGGTTTGTGAATCAATCCATCGTTATTATTTCGATGTATTTTGTAATTTAAACGATTTGTTTCGGCCCATTAACAGCCGCCTACCGTATAATTTGTAAAATGACAGAAATTTTCACTGGATTAAATTTTCCCGCCAGTCTCTTGCTTCTCTTTTCTTTATTTGACATAAAAGCAGAAAGACGCAGGTTTTCCTCTCGGCTAACAGAGATGTAAATATCGTCATGGCGACTGTTTTTTCTCTCTGAAGTCAGCCGTCTGGATTCGGTCGGCCTCCTTCCTGCCCGTCCCTCATTATATAAGCAGAATCAGGTCTTTAGAAAAGCCATAAATGATAAATCTTTTTATATCGCAGCCATAGTCCTCTGCTCTTATCTGTTTATTTCTGTTTTATATCTTTTACTCTTTTATTATACATCATTTAGGTGATTGAGGAAACAGAAGTTAAGGGCGGTTCTAGACCGAATGTACCGGGGGCCATTTTTTAATTTCTATTCAATTAGTTTTAATTAAAATTCTGTCTTCTAGCTGAATTTTTTTTTTCTTTAAAATGATGATTTGGATTATCGTTAAAATCGAAATAAAAATCCATTAGCAAAGCAAAAAAGCAACAAAAAAAATAGTAGCTATATAAATACCTAAAAGATCAAATAAAGCTTCAAATTCAGGAATTTTGCATATTTTTTTACTTAATTTAAGTTAAAAAAAATTGTTTTCTAGAACTTAAGACAAGCTAAAAAGGGTATTTTTTTATTGTCATTATTTAATATTATTAAAATATTTAGTAAAACTAATTTTTTTAAAGAAAAAAAAATGAAATAGATCCAAAGGACCGATCAGTAACCGTTTCTGTTCCTGCAAAGATCATCAGTAGAATTTCTTTTAGTGTTCTGTCTGCAGTACTGGGGCCATAACGGGGGCACTGGCCCCCGTTATCCCCCGTCTAGAACCGCCCATGAATGGAAGGGATTTTAAAATGTAAAAGTCACTGAAAAAAATAAACCAGCTTTGAATCTCAGGATTAATTTGTAGAATAAATGTGAGAGAACTGAATTTTTTTCTGTGACCTTTTTCACTGACAGGTCGTTCAGTTTGAGTATTTCTGCTTCAGTCGGCGACTTTAGCGAAACAAATGGACGGTTTGTTACGGAATTAATCACCGTTTGGATTTTAAGCTGTGAACAGGGATTATACGGGGTGCCATTGGTACAAATATAATAATAATCGCAGCCATATTTTAGGTTATTTAGGCTGTAATAAGCGATAAAAAAATTACAGTTCATTTTTCAAAGTTATATGATCCATCAGACATTTACGCATTTCATTTTTACAAACTAAACATTTTATCATAGCTTTAAAATATTTAATTTAAAACAGAACATTTGTTTTTTTTAAGCCAATTACTTTTCTTTTAATGTAATATTTATTCAGAAAATGTCAAATATTTAATTTGGAGGTAAACATATAGATTACAAAATAAATACTTGAACCTAACTATTTAGGTTTAAACAAATGATTTTATTGAAAGCGAAATATTTATAAAATTAATATTTAATTTTAAGCTCAATGTTTTGCTTTATGAATAAATACTAATAATTTTTTATATTTAATTTAGATAGAGGAATAAAATCTTTATTAATCATTATTTTTCCTTTGGGAGTAATACAGGATTTTTGAATTCAATTGAAATAATCGAAGGTTAAGTTTGGTTATACATATAAGTATATAAATGATCGGCTGGTAATCTGATCTAAAAATAAACTTCTAAGTTTTTACAGGCTAAATAACCCATAATATTGGTGTGAAGGTTTGGCACAATCAGCACCCCAAAGAAGTCTTCCAGGGTGGATTTACTTTAATTTCAGCGAAAATTTCCAGGAAAATTCAGGCGGTTTAATAAGACGGAGTATGAGGGCCAGGCTAGAGTTTAACTTTAAAAAATTACAAGAATAAATTCATAATTTCACGAGCTGTTGCAGAAAATAGATTTATAGTTCTGATTCTGATCATAATTTAATGCTAAAAGACAATATTTCCTCAGAAGATGCTTGACATTAGAGGTGGTTCTCACAGAATACTGACACCTGCTGGACATTTAAAGACACTACAGGCAGCTGATTGGACAATAAACTGAATGGATCTGATGAGCTAGAACAATTATATCATTGAAGTTATTGGAGGTTATATTCTATTGTTTCATATCTATGTTTAAATTGAAAATATCTTTGATATTTTTAGATGCAGCCAATAAATAATGTAAACATTTATGCTTACAGGAACATTTAGGGGAAAATGTGAATGTAGATGGTTGTGGACTAGGATTTTAAATCATATTTTTAAAACTAAAAGTCAATAAACTAAGAGTCAGTTTGAAATTAACTTTAGATCAGAGAAGTGATTGGTAACTGAGAGGAAAAGGATGAGACAACGAAAAAAAATTAAATAAAATCACTACTTGACATTCCTCATTTTATGGCAGAGAGCTTCTGGTAAGAATTATCATAAAAAACAACTTTATTCTCATAATTTTCAGACTTTATTTTTGAATCAAACCCAGAGTACCTGCTCATCCACAGGGTAGGGCTGTCCCTCTGCCAGCTGATTGGCCAGATAAACGTCTCCCTCACTGACGTCATAGCCCACTATAGTCAGGGCGGAAGGGAAAAGGTTGAGGTTTCCGATGTGGTCCGAGTGTCCGTGGGTCCCCACCACCAGCCTAATGTCCCCCGGGTCCATACCCCGCTGCTTCAGGGTCTGCAGGAGGAAGTCCCGGTCCCAGGGCCCCCCGGTGTCCACCAGGATGTCCTGGGGCCCCCTGATCAGGGTGATGGTCCCGTCGGCTTTGGACGCCCCCCCGGGCTGAGGGACGCAGTATCCGACCTTTAGGACGGACACGGAATAAGGCTGGCCCGGGAAGTCCAGCTGGTTCTGGGACAAACACACCTTCTGGTACCGGTCCGGGTCCGGGTCCATGTCCAGAAGCAGGCTGCTGCCGCCGCCTCTCCTTCTCGGGCTCCTAGTGGAGTCTATCGGCGGTAGGTTGGAGCTTTACCGCCACCTGCTGGTCTGAGTTGGTCATGATTTCAGTTCCGGAGCGGAAAATGTTTTCCCCAACAAATAAAAATACTTTTTACATCTTTGCTCCTTAATTCCTTCATAATAGAATAATAATTTTGTAATTATTTTATCTCCTTTCTTCTCCTAGTTCTTATTTCGCTTTTATTTTTTATTTTAAACCATTCCAAAAAGATTTTGCAATTAAAAATGTCAGAATAGCGTTCAGTTCCGGGCTTTATGCAGTAGCCAAATAAAGCCTTTTTTATGTTTAGAAAATATGTTTATGTTTAGAAAACATGACATAAACATGTTTTTCTAAACATAAACATGTTTTCTAAATATAAACATTGACCTTTTGACTGTTTGAATTGGGAAAAGCTTCCTGGATGGGAAGCAAATGTATGGAAGCCTGTTTCTGCCATGTAAAAAAAAAAAAAAAAATAGCAAATATAAATTAATAATTATGTGATTCAGAATCATAAATATGACTTTTTCAAGTCATGATTATAAATGTAATTCTATATAATATATATAGTTATAATTATTACTTTTAAAAGTCAAAATGATATCAATCCCAACATCTGCTCTACTATCTGAGTGACTTCTCTGCAAACTGATTAGTGACGATGAATGTGAACCAATAATCCTCTCAGGGGTCTTATTTCCTCTACCCTTGTTCTATAAACAGAATTTCTAGCATTCCTCCTGTGTATACTGGTATATTATGACTGGTCCTCTTTCCTGTGATAATATGGAACTGTGGGATAGATACTTCTATCTCCTTAACTAAACCTTTTGATGTTTCTGTGTATGGCTGGATGAAGCTGTAATAACTATTAATATATGCCTGTAATGTATGTTAAAATACCTCTTTTATCCTTGTTTTTCCTGTCTAGTAGTATAAGGTCTACTTTTGCTTCAGGTAGCATCCATGGTGGTATTCTAGTCCCCTCTATCCACACCTGTTCCCTAGCTTCATCTGGTCTGTTCCTGTTTGGCTGTGACTCCATCCTGGAGAGAAATATCAGCTGTGCTGCTGCCATCAACACCTTTGTTTCTAGATGTTGGAGCTTGGCCTGTTTTCTAGTGTAGTCCTGTTTCTCTGACTGTGACTAACTGGATGTGCTCTCTTCATCCTCTGACATGGGAGCTGGCTCGGAGCTCGTCTGCCTGGCTGTGTGTTTCCTGGACGGGGCCGCCTGTGGAGCTTGTTGACAGTTGCCTTTTGTATCTATGCTTCTTTTTCTATGTCTGCTTCTGTCTCCTTGAACCCCAGTGGGCCTCAGCAGATGGCCGCTCACACTGAGCCTGGTTCTGCTGGAGGTTTCTTCCTGTTCAAAGGGAGTTTTTCCTCTCCACTGTCGCTACAAGCATGCTTAGTGTGAGGGATTGCTGAAGAGTCAATGAGTCGATGCAATCAGCTGGTTTTCCTTAGATAGAAAACTTTGAATCAATCTGACTGGATGATCTGGTGAACTGGAAAGTGACCTGAGATGACATGATGTGAATTGGAGCTATAGAAATAGACTGAATAGAATTAAACAGATAAAACAGCCCCATTCTACAGATAGAGAAATATTAATAGAATAGCCATAGGTTTTGTCCCTCTCTTCGCGTCCCTTTTCTTGTTGTTCTCGTCTCTATGCTTTGTACACAAAGCTGACCTCTGCCCTCCAGCCTGGACGCACAGAGAGGTTTTATCTAATATAGAGCAGAAAGTTCTTTACCAACAGCTGCACAAAAGCAATAAACCAAAGACACCTTCAGAACCGGCCGGTCTGGATCTAGACAGAGAAACTTCAGGAAGATGGACCCAGTGGAGGACTTTATACGAGCCTCCAATCAAAAACCAACCTGCTGATTTTACACGTTGCCATCGCCACAAACTGGTTTTTATCTGTTATTAATGGGGGGGGTTTAAACCAGTTCACTTTCTGAGGTCCGTCTGAAAATATGTTCCATATTTTTATGGAAAGGACAAGACTAAAGACCATTTTTAGCCTTTTAAATTGCGTTTTTAGTCTTTTTGGGGACGGTTTTTACAAACACTCTTTCTATAGGAGGAGTTTAAAATGGGAAAAATAAGCCAAAGGCCTGACTTTTAAATGTTTTAATCAGTGAAGCAAAGATGGCCGTTTATTGTCTTGCAGAGACAGACTGCAGGAAGGAGCTCAGCTATGGAGGTTAAAGCCAGAATAAGGCTGGAGTTTAACTTCCACACAGAACATGGAGGATTTATTCAGCTGTGAGGTTTTAATAACATTTTATGTTCTGGGTCAGATGATGGACAACTACAAGCTCTTCATTTAATGATTTTTTAGCTGACACTTGTTTTTAACTGACTGTTTTACATCAATAATTGATTCTAAGGTCTGAATGGTGCAAAAGTCTTTAAAAGTTAAAAAAAAAGTCAAGAATATTGGCGAAATGAGAAGAATTATAGTTTAATTTAAAGAATGTGTAATAAAAAGAGTCAGTAATTGAAGTTATTCCAACTCAAACTAAGAATCACAGTAAATCTACACACCAGCAGGTGGCAGTAGTGCGCACCTTTCGTTTTTATGCTAACTGAACCAAAAATAAGACGAAGAAGAAAAGGGAAACGCAACGTCACTGAACATGGCGGACACGTCAGATTATCCCAGAGGTTCTTCCTTCATGGATCCATTAAAAGGGATTTTAGTGGCTTATTTTATGCCAGAATTGTGCTACGATAAGTTCTTCCTGGATCTGGACTTCCTGGACGGTGAGTGGGTCCGTCCGGGTTTTCATTCCCCCTGAACACAGAGAAATGTTCAGGTTCCGGTTTATTGGACCTCCGTGTTGGTCCAGACTGGTTCCCCTTTTATCTGGATCTCAGAAGGTCGACATGTCGAAAGAAAAGAGAGAAAAAAATAACGATTATAATTAAATTAAAAGGAATAAATACAAAATTTAGACTTCGGGGTTAAAAGGATGCGTTCAATTGCTTTTAATAGCTGTTGGATTTTCAAGTGAATTTTACTGTGATGCAGTAGAGCTGCAGGTTCAGTTTGGTTTCCATGTAGTTTTGCTTTTATAGGAACTTTTTCTCATTAGGAGCTGAATGAAATAAATAAGACTTTATTCTCCAAATAAAGTAGATTTTTTTCTCTTTTTCCTACTTTAATTGCATTCAGTGGTTAAATAAATGACAGAAGGCTTCAGTCTGTTGCTCTCTAACAGTACATGGATGATCGATACACATTCCTTCCATCCATCCATCTTCTTCCTCTAATCCAGGGTGGGGTTGTAGGGGTAGCAGCGTCACTATGGAAGCCCAGACGTAGGAATCCCAAGGTGCTCCCAGGCCAGCAGAGAAACATAGTCCCTCCAGCGTGTCCTGGGTCTCCCTCTGGTGGGACGTGCCTGGAACACCTCACCAGGGAGACGTCCAGGAGGCATCCTAACCAGATGCCCGAGCCACCTCAACTGGCTCCTCTCAATGTGGAGGAGCAGCGGCTCTACTCTGAGTCCTCCCTGGATGACTGAGCTCCTCCCCCTTTCTCTAAGGGAGAGCCCAGCCACCCTACGGAGGAAACTCATTTCAGCCGCTTGGATCCGGGATCTCGTTCTGTCAGTCATGACCATAGATGAGGGTAGGAACGTAGATCGACCGGTAAATCCAGAGCTTTGCTTTTTGGCTCAGCTCTCTCTTCACCATAACAGACCTTGATTTTAGTAATTAGGCAACATTTTTCTAGAATTACCGTAAATCCTCTAATATAGGACGGGGCCTTTATTTCACTCAGGTGCATCTTGGTCCAGGCCATTATTGGAAAAAGGCCAGAATTAGAAGCAGGTCTCTATTTCGCTTTGAGCCAAACAGACTGAATGTTTTGTCTCTTTGAACCTATAAAAAGTAGGTTTCTTTATTGTAAAAGTACAGTTACCATGACGATATAAAGAACAGGGATGCGCGATATTGGGATTTTGGCTGATATCCGATATGCCGATATTTTAAACTCATGTAGCCGATAACCGATATCGATACCGATGTTAAAGCTGGACAAAAATAAGTAGTCATTGAAAATAGCAGTTTTGTTATCCATTTCTGACACTTTGAAAAATAATAAACTCAAATATATTTTCATATGCTGATATCAAATAGATTTTTAAAAACGCGGTATCGATCTATTTTACTTTCAAAATCTGGTGAAATTTCATCGTTCTGTTACAAACTCTCGTAATATTTTGCAAATTCTTGTGAGATTTCGTTAGTAAAATAGATCGATACCGCGTCAATATATCGACATATAAAAATATGGCAACATTTGGTGAATTTTCGGGGGATTTCGTAGCATAACGATGACATACAGCAATATTTCATTAGTAAAAGAGATTGATATGGTGTTTTTAAATGGCAATATATCAGCATATGAAGATATTGGGATATTTTAATGGATCAATATTTTTTCCCTCGTCTTTAGAAGTTTTTAAGTCTGTAAAAAAGAAGTTTTTGAGGAAGAAGAAGAAGTATTTATTTTTTTTTTTTAGACTTTAGAAACTCAGAAGCTGATCAAATATCGGGTTAAATATCGGTGGGGTGGCCGATGTCCGATATTCAGTTTTAAGGCCGATACCGATAGGGGGCCGATTATATCGTGCATCCCTAATAAAGAACTTTATCATCATGTGCTGGTAATTCCGACGTCTTCCAGAAACGGTGATAATTCTTCATAACAAAAGGCTTTATACGAGTCCGGCCGTTGTTAGAGTCCCGGCCGCTAATGGAACACAGGCCAATATTAGAGCATTTACGGTAGCCAAAGTTCTAATTGAAATGTTGAATAAAATCTCCCAGAAGGCAGATCTATGTTCTGATTGGTTTAATAAAAGGTTCATTTTGAAGGCATCGGTTCCACCAATCATTACGCTGCTGGGAGGCCGATCATTAGTGAATGCTCCATTAGCCCCGATGCGTGGGCGTGTGCGTGGAGCCCGTAGAGCTAAACGCTGCATCGGCGCACTTCAAAACATCATGTGACCGATCCAGGAGTGACCGACTCATAAAACTGTGTTTAAAAACATATCCGTCAACAGATAGGCTACATATCTGATTAAACAAAAACAAAAAATCGCATCTTTTATCATTTCAGTGTCCATATAATTATGAACATTTTCCACATTTTTAAAAATAGGCCTGTAAAAGTTTATAACAAGAGGCTTCAGGTTTATTTACTCAGATAGGTGAACAAACACAGATTTCTGGCAGTAATTTCCCCCCGTAGGTCCGCTGAACTCTGCTTCAGAGAATCTTTACGGTTCCAAAAGGAAAAACTTTTGGTCTGTTTTAAAGTTTGAGGAATAAAAAGAGAGATTTATTTATTTTTTTTAACGGGAATATCTCTTTATTTTTCCTTGAAGATTTCAGGAGTTTCTTTTTTTTCTGGGTTCATGCAGCGCCACCTGCTGCCGGCGGCGAGTTACTGTCTGCTTTCCATTTAGACAGCTTTTATTGTAATTTTACAAAGAGTGTATACGAAATAAAATTTAATTTCTTACAGCTTTCCAGACAGTAAATGAACATTTGTCTGTAAATTCCTAAGTACCTTTTCCCCTTTTTAATCCACTTGATGATTAAAAACAAAACAAAAAAAGCAAACGGGATCCTTTCTGATAAGTTCAACCTTTTACTTCCAAAATAAAAAAATAAAAATACAAGTATTACATTTCCATAAAAAATGAAATAATAAAAGAAGATTAGGAGAAAAATAAATGGGGTCCAGAAAAAAACTGTGCGGCTCCAATTAGCCGACTGACTGAAGCAGAACCTAAACATCCAGAAACAAACCTGCACATTTACAAAAGAACATTGAATGTCCGAACACATGAAAACCTTCTACTTTTGGACATTTACTGTGACTTATGACCTTAACTTAAACTGAATTTAGGCTCCTATAATTTCCATTCCATAAATTGCAGCAGTGATCAAATGTAAACAGTGTGGGAGAAAAAAAAAAAAAAACGCATTGATGTGGAAGTTCATCTTAGTGATGGATGCATTAGCACCGATGTGTGGGTGCATGCATGGAGCCCATAGAGCTAAACGCTGCATCGGTGCGTCTGTCGTCTCCAGAAAGTCATGTGACCGTTAGAGGAGCTCTTTCTAACTGACCGACTCAATAAACTGTGTTTAAAAACTTATCTTTAAACATAAAAAAAAAGTCTCATCTTTTCCGGTTTATCATTAAAATGATCCAGAATCTCTTTTATCGCTCAACTTATCTGATTTAAAGTTCATTTCAAATTGACTCTTAGTTTATTTACTGTTTTTACTTTACTTATTGCGATTTAAAATCCTAGTCCAGCAGCATCCTCGTTCACATTTTCCCCTAAATTTCCATGTATTGATAAATGTTTAAATTGTTTATTGGCAGCATCTAAAAATATCAAAGATGTTTTCAATTTAAACATAGATATGAAATAATAGAATATAACCCCCAATAACTTCAACGATATCATTGTTCTAGGTCATCAGATCCATTCAGTTTATTGTCCAATCAGCTGCCTGTAGTGTCTTTAAATGTCCAGCAGGTGTCAGTGTAGAGACAGTATCACGATGCCTCATTAAACCATCACCAGTTCAGAGCATTAATATCTATGGTGCTATTTTTTGGTTTGTTGTTATCAATGTGATGCAGAGTCTGTGAAATGATTTAGAAAAATAAAGTAAAAATAAATCTCTTTTTATTCCTCAAACTTTAAAGCAAACCAAAAGTTTTTACTTTTTGAACCGTAAAGATTCCCTGAAGCAGAGTTCAGGGAATCTATGGGGAGAAATTACTGCCAGAAATCTGTGTTTGACTCAAAAAAGGTGGAAAATTTCTGTTTGCCTCTTGTTATAAACTCTTACATGGATGACTTACGGATAAAGATTTTCTAAGAGCCTGTTTTTAAAAATGTGGATTAATTTGAATTGTTAAAATTAAGTTATTTTTTTAAATCTTTGGTTTGTCGTAAATAATTGATCCGCTACATTAAAATATGAATTCTATTGTGACTGTAATTTATGATTAAATCAATCAAATTAAAATATGTTTTAAGGGAAAAATCCGTTCAGCGACGAATAATCAATTGATCATTATTTATACCTAAAACTAAAACCAATTCGGTGATTTATTAAATTTAGTGTTAATTAGTAAAAAAATTATAATTTTTCTTGTGATCACTGAGTCTGGGAGCGGCCATTTTTTACCCAAATATAGTAGCCCCTCCCTCCTGCCATCTTCCGGCAGTGACGTCACGGTGCGGTAAGCCTAGCGCCAAAAACCCGTAATATGTAGCCAACATTTGGAAGAAGAATGTTTTCAAGATGACATGGATAATAGCGCGTTGTGACAAACACCAGATACAGCACTGGGACTTGATCAACAGCCGATACCGCACCGTGACGTCACTAACCAGTAGGTGGCAGTAGTGTTCTTTGACAAACATGGATGCCTCCAGTAAAGCACATTCACATGAAAATTACTCTGAATTAAAAACACTGATCATTTATTGAACAGGATGGAATCATTTCAGATTTAAAGAACTTTCAGAAGTTTGGATTCTGAATATAACCGAACTTTTCCTTTAAAGATTGTTAAAATCTCCTAGAATGTGGAAATCTTCTGTCAGTGCTGGAACTCACCAGCAGGGGGCGATGTTGACTCATACCTGGGGCGGCAGGAATCCTGTCTGGTTGAAGATTTTAGGATGTGATTAAAGCTGAATAACAAACTGATCCATTTTAACATCTGCTGTTTTTGTTCCAGTGCCATGTGTGAAGATGGTAGTGAGCAAAGCTCTGGGAATCGGCATCATCCTGGGATCAGTTCTGGGTAAAACCTCCATCTTCCATCTTTATTGCTTCTCAGTCAATTCTAGGTGCCATTTTATAGGCTGATGATAGAACTCTGGGTCCCCCCCCCCGTAAATGTGGGGGTCCAGGGGTTTCATTGGTTGGTCCAAAGAAAGAACAAATGTCGATCGATCCTTCCTTCCTTCCTTCATCCTGTCTTCCTTCCTTCCTTCCTTCATCCTGTCTTCCTTCCTTCCTTCATCCTGTCTTCCTTCCTTCCTTCCTTCATCCTGTCTTCCTTCCTTCCTTCATCCTGTCTTCCTTCCTTACTTCCTTCATCCTGTCTTCCTTCCTTACTTCCTTCATCCTGTCTTCCTTCCTTCCTTCATCCTGTCTTCCTTCCTTCCTTCCTTCATCCTGTCTTCCTTCCTTACTTCCTTCATCCTGTCTTCCTTCCTTACTTCCTTCATCCTGTCTTCCTTCCTTACTTCCTTCATCCTGTCTTCCTTCCTTACCTCCTTCATCCTGTCTTCCTTCCTTACTTCCTTCATCCTGTCTTCCTTCCTTCCTTCCTTCATCCTGTCTTCTTTCCTTCCTTCCTTCCTTCCTTCCTTCCTTCCTTCCTTCCTTCCTTCCTTCCTTCCTTCCTTCCTTCCTTCCTCCTCCCTCCCTCCCTCCCTCCCTCCCTCCCTCCCTCCCTCCCTCCCTCCCTCCCTCCCTTCCCTCCCTCCCTCCCTTCCTTCCTTCCTCCCTTCCTTCCTTCCTTACTTCCTTCATCCTGTCTTCCTTCCTTCCTTCATCCTGTCTTCCTTCCTTACTTCCTTCATCCTGTCTTCCTTCCTTACTTCCTTCATCCTGTCTTCCTTCCTTACTTCCTTCATCCTGTCTTCCTTCCTTACTTCCTTCATCCTGTCTTCCTTCCTTACTTCCTTCATCCTGTCTTCCTTCCTTACTTCCTTCATCCTGTCTTCCTTCCTTCCTTCCTTCATCCTGTCTTCCTTCCTTACTTCCTTCATCCTGTCTTCCTTCCTTACTTCCTTCATCCTGTCTTCCTTCCTTCCTTCATCCTGTCTTCCTTCCTTCCTTCATCCTGTCTTCCTTCCTTCATCCTGTCTTCCTTCCTTCCTTCCTTCATCCTGTCTTCCTTCCTTCCTTCATCCTGTCTTCCTTCCTTACTTCCTTCATCCTGTCTTCCTTCCTTACTTCCTTCATCCTGTCTTCCTTCCTTCCTTCATCCTGTCTTCCTTCCTTCCTTCATCCTGTCTTCCTTCCTTACTTCCTTCATCCTGTCTTCCTTCCTTACTTCCTTCATCCTGTCTTCCTTCCTTACTTCCTTCATCCTGTCTTCCTTCCTTCCTTCCTTCATCCTGTCTTCCTTCCTTACTTCCTTCATCCTGTCTTCCTTCCTTACTTCCTTCATCCTGTCTTCCTTCCTTCCTTCCTTCATCCTGTCTTCCTTCCTTCCTTCCTTCATCCTGTCTTCCTTCCTTCCTTCCTTCATCCTGTCTTCCTTCCTTCCTTCCTTCATCCTGTCTTCCTTCCTTACTTCCTTCATCCTGTCTTCCTTCCTTACTTCCTTCATCCTGTCTTCCTTCCTTACTTCCTTCATCCTGTCTTCCTTCCTTACTTCCTTCATCCTGTCTTCCTTCCTTACCTCCTTCATCCTGTCTTCCTTCCTTACTTCCTTCATCCTGTCTTCCTTCCTTCCTTCATCCTGTCTTCCTTCCTTCCTTCCTTCCTTCCTTCCTTCCTTCCTTCCTTCCTTCCTTCCTTCCTTCCTTCCTTCCTTCCTCCCTCCCTCCCTCCCTCCCTCCCTCCCTCCCTCCCTCCCTCCCTCCCTTCCTTCCTTCCTTCCTTCATCCTGTCTTCCTTCCTTCCTTCATCCTGTCTTCCTTCCTTCCTTCCTTCATCCTGTCTTCCTTCCTTCCTTCATCCTGTCTTCCTTCCTTACTTCCTTCATCCTGTCTTCCTTCCTTACTTCCTTCATCCTGTCTTCCTTCCTTCCTTCCTTCATCCTGTCTTCCTTCCTTCCTTCCTTCATCCTGTCTTCCTTCCTTCCTTCCTTCATCCTGTCTTCCTTCCTTCCTTCATCCTGTCTTCCTTCCTTACTTCCTTCATCCTGTCTTCCTTCCTTACTTCCTTCATCCTGTCTTCCTTCCTTCCTTCATCCTGTCTTCCTTCCTTACTTCCTTCATCCTGTCTTCCTTCCTTACTTCCTTCATCCTGTCTTCCTTCCTTCCTTCCTTCCTTCATCCTGTCTTCCTTCCTTACTTCCTTCATCCTGTCTTCCTTCCTTACTTCCTTCATCCTGTCTTCCTTCCTTCCTTCCTTCATCCTGTCTTCCTTCCTTCCTTCCTTCCTTCCTTCCTTCCTTCCTTCCTTCCTTCCTTCCTTCCTTCCTCCCTCCCTCCCTCCCTCCCTCCCTCCCTCCCTCCCTCCCTCCCTTCCTTCCTTCCTTCCTTCCTTCCTTCCTCCCTCCCTCCCTCCCTCCCTCCCTCCCTCCCTCCCTCCCTCCCTCCCTCCCTCCCTCCCTCCCTCCCTCCCTCCCTCCCTTCCTTAGATAATAATGGATCAAACTTCTCTCCGTAGATTAGCCGTGATCTTTAGCTCCGTCTTTGTCCAGAGGACCTGAATCTAACAGGATCCATTCAGGTCTGATCTTCATGTCCGAGTTCCTCCAGGTCTCGTCTTCTCTGACGTTTCTGCTTCGGTTCCTTCTGGCAGTGAAACTACCTCAGATCTTGAAGCTGATGGGAGCCCGCAGCGCTGAGGGGCTGAGCTTCAACGCCGTGCTGCTGGAGCTGCTGGCCATCACAGGAACCATGGTCTACAGCGTGACGCACAAGTTCCCCTTCAGGTTTGGACGCTGCCGCCTCTGTTAGCTTCCAGCGCTATCGTAGCCCAGCTAACGCTCTGAATGTTGCCGCAGCGCCTGGGGAGAAGCTCTGTTCCTCATGCTGCAGACCGTCGCCATCGGATTCCTCATCCAGCACTACGGGAAGAGGACCGGCATAGGTGGGACGGCGCCCCCCGCTGGCCGCAGCTCGCCCTGTTAGGACTCGCTGAAGACCAGATGCTCCTCTCTTCCAGGTCTCCTCTTCCTGGCGGTTTACGCGGGCCTCCTGCTGCTCCTCCTGTCTCCGGTCACTCCCATGTCGGTGGTCACCACCATGCAGGCGTCCAACATGCCAGCCATCATCATCGGCAGGGTAAGCCCGCCCCCCAGGGGGAACAAACCGAGGGGGGGGGGGACCTCATGGCTGCAGCTCCTGATTTCCTCTGGTTTCTGCAGCTCATCCAGGCTGTAACCAACTTCCGCAACGGACACACGGGCCAACTGTCGGCCATCTCCGTCTTCCTGCTGTTCGCCGGATCCCTGGCGCGGATCTTCACCTCCCTGCAGGTACAAAGGATGGAGTCACAGCCAAACAGGAACAGACCAGATGAAGCTACTATGAGAAAAAGCAGAGAGAGCAGAACGTTAGAGATTGAACTAACAGATTCTGCAGAGTGGGAGAATAGAGATAGAATGAAGCAGAATGATGAAAAAGGGGTCCCTATGTCCTCCAGCAGTCTAAGCCTATAGCAGCATATCTATAGAGATAGATCAGGATAACCTGAGCCACTCTAACTAGAAGCTTTATCAAAAAGGAATTTATTTAATTTAGCATCCATGCTCTTTTTCTACGTGGCAAAAATATATATGTGAGTTTAATATCTGAGCCGATAATCAGCTACGGCAAGAAAGGAGGGACAAATCAATTCTGTCTTTAATAAACTGATTATGTTGTTTGCTTCGCGTTTTTTCTCTGCTGATAGGAAACGGGCGACTCGCTGATGGCGCTGACCTACGTCATTTCCTCCACCTGTAACGGCATCATCGCCCTGCAGGTGCTCTACTACTGGAACAGCAGCCCTGAACACAAGAAGAAGAAGAAGAAGAAAGAATAAACGCTAAGGACTCCCTGGGAATGCACCTGGGAGATTCTTTTCTATGTTTTCGTCTCATTTTAGACGATTTCTCCTCCTCTTCAGGCCCTCGATGCAGGAAGATGGGAATTTTCCAGAACGGCTGAGCTGTTGCTGTTGCTGTGTGGGTGGGTGGGTGGGGGGCGTGGGTGTCGTCACATTCCAGGAAATGTTCCTAATCATGACATGTTCAGATGATCTGAATGAATAAAGGTTTTGAGCTCTGATCTCGTGTTAAAAACTCAGATTTTTGTTTCATTTTTAAATTCGTTTTTTTGTTCTTCTGAACTCAGGATACAGTAAAAAACCATAATTTGAACAAAAATCACATTTCAAAGGTCTGAAGAGGAATGAATTAAATTCAGAATTCAAACTTCTGAAAGTTCTTTAAATCTGAAATGATTCCATCCTGTTCAATAAATGATCAGTGTTTTTAATTCAGAGTAATTTTCATTTACTGGAGGCATCCATGTTTGTCAAAGAACACTACTGCCACCTACTGGTTAGTGACGTCACTGCCGGAAGATGTCAGGAGGGAGGGGCTCCTATATTTGGGAAAATGATCCATTTACAGGTGCTGGTCATAAAATTAGAATATCATGAAAAAGTAGATTGATTTCAGTAATTCCATTTAAAAAGTGAAACTTGTATATTATATTCATACATTACATACAAACTCATATATTTCAGATGTTTATTTTGTTTAATTTTGATGATTACAAATGACAACAAATGAAAATCTCAAATTCATCATATCAGAAAATTAGAATATTGTGAAAAGGTTCAAAATTGATGGCCCCTGGTGCCACACTCTAATCAGCTAATTAACTCAAACCACCTGCAAAAGCCTTTAAATGGTCTTTCAGTCTAGTTCTATAGGCTACACAATCATGGGGAAGACTGCTGACTTGACAGTTGTCCAAAAGACGACCATCGACACCTTGCACAAGGAGGGCAAGACACAAAAGGTCATCGCTAAAGAGGCTGGCTGTTCACAGAGCTCAGTGTCCAAGCACATTAATAGAGAGGCGAAGGGAAGGAAAAGATGTGGTCGAAAAAAGTGTACAAGCAAGAGAGATAACCGCACCCTGGAGAGGATTGTGAAACAAAACCCATTCAAAAATGTGGGGGAGATTCACAAAGAGTGGACTGCAGCTGGAGTGAGTGCTTCAAGAACCACCACACACAGACGTATGAAAGACATGGGTTTCTGCTGTCGCATTCCTTGTGTCAAGCCACTCTTGAACCACAGACAGCGTCAGAAGCGTCTTGCCTGGGCTAAAGAGAAACAGGACTGGACTGCTGGTGAGTGGTCCAAAGTCATGTTCTCTGATGAAAGTAAATTTTGCATTTCCTTTGGAAATCAAGGTCCCAGAGTCTGGAGGAAAAGAAGAGAGGCACTTCATCCACGTTGCTTGAAGTCCAGTGTAAAGTTTCCACAGTCAGTGATGGTTTGGGGTGCCATGTCATCTGCTGGTGTTGGTCCATTGTGTTTTCTGAGGTCCAGGGTCAACGCAGCCACATACCAGGAAGTTTTAGAGCACTTCATGCTTCCTGCAGCTGACCAACTTTTTGGAGATGCAGATTTCATTTTCCAACAGGACTTGGCACCTGCACACAGTGCCAAAGCTACCAGTACCTGGTTGAAGGACCATGGTATCCCTGTTCTTAATTGGCCAGCAAACTCTCCTGACCTTAACCCCATAGAAAATCTATGGGGTATTGTGAAGAAGAAGATGCAATACACCAGACCCAACAATTCAGAAGAGCTAAAAGCCACTATTAGAGCAACCTGGGCTATCATAACACCTGAGCAGTGCCACAGACTGATCGACTCCATGCCACGCCGCATTGCTGCAGTAATACAGGCCAAAGGAGGCCCAACTAAATACTGAGTGCTGTACATGCTCATACTTTTCATGTTCATACTTTTCAGTTGGCCAACATTTCTATAAATCCTTTGTTTTTATTGGTCTTCAGTAATATTCTAATTTTCTGATATGATGAATTTGAGATTTTCATTTGTTGTCATTTGTAATCATCAAAATTAAACAAAATAAACATCTGAAATATGTGAGTTTGTATGTAATGTATGAATATAATATACAAGTTTCACTTTTTAAATGGAATTACTGAAATCAATCTACTTTTTCATGATATTCTAATTTTATGACCAGCACCTGTATAATTCCTTGCTGACCAGATTTTTCCTTTAATCTACATATATATGGAGTGAAATAAGATCCATTATTTGTTCTTAAAAATGTTAAGTCAAAGAAAATGTAATCCATAAATGAAACTTTGAAAAGACTTGGTATTCAAAAAAGTTTTTAGAGGAGATTAAATTTTTTTCACTTTTTAAAATGTTATTCTATTTTTTTTTTTTTTTTTTTTTTCAGATTTTTTTTTCACTGGCTTCATTCTTTAAAATTACAAATTTCAATTTTTTCACTTGATGGCCCCCCAAAAAATATTTTTTTAGTATTGTTTCTGAAGGACTGGAGAGGACATGTCCCCACCAATAATTTCCGCTGATTTCCTCCAGCCAGCAGTAACTGGGTGCAGCTCTCTGTGTTCAGATTGTTTCAGTCCGTGTTTTTTTTCCTCGCTCTCCAGTTCCTCCTCTGGGTGAAATATCCTGGGATCTGCTGCTTTGGGACAGAATATTATTTGGGGTCGTAATTCAGTTTTATGTCAGAGAAGAAGAACAAATGAAATTAAAACTTCACAGAAAACCTTAGTTAAACTGATTTTACTGCACAAACCTTTGATTTTGGTTTTACTTTTTTCTCAAGTTTCATGATTAAAAAGTGAAAAATTTACTTTCATTCCTGTAGAAATCTAGCTTTTAATTAAACCATTCCTTGAATGGATTTACCTTCAATAAGACGACTCTATATCGTTTATATCTAGATGCTCTATACGTTGCAATATTACAGATAAATGAGCCTAATTAAAAACTATGAGGAATTTCTAATAATTATCAGAAATGTGTTTTTTTTATCATCATTATTGAGGCGTTTCTTGGCAGCCATCCTCTTTGAAAAACTCTGTGTTTCAAGACACTTTTTCTCCAACCTGCTTTTTAAAATAATAACTTCCTTCTTCCTTTTACATGAATTATTTCCTGATATTTAGAATTCAAAGAGTTTCCTGCTTGTTTGTTTGTTTTTTTGTTTCCGGATGTCTGATTTACAGCATGTCTAATAAACTGGAACTGTATTCTGTTCCATTGAAGCTAAATTTAACAAAAGGACATCAGTGTTCAGCAGTCTATGGAGGACCAGAAGAGCCACAGCAAAGAAGGAAAAAAAATTTATTTTACGTTTAAATCTAAGATAACTTTAACTAAACGATGGTTTGTTAGGGAAGACCAGAAGAGCCACAGAAAATAAATCTAATTTTACATTTAAAGCTAAGACAACTTTAAAACATACCGCAACAACAAGTTGGGGCAGCACTGAGTCCAAAGAAATTAATTTTCTAGATTAAACTAATTATTTTGATGTTATTTTTTTTTTATATACAAACAGGCCATAATAAAAATGAGCTTTAATGAAACAAAACTAATGATTCTTATTTTTAAAATGTCAGGAGTAGAAAGTAAAAAGTTGTTTAAAAAATAATTACTCCAGTAAAGTAAAAAACATTTCTTTTTAAGGTAAGAAAGTATTTGTACTGGTATGGTTTGTATGGTTATTATTTTGACACGTCTAGTCTGTATTTATTTTGTTTCTTCCTAATCATCTTTTTTATTTTGTTTGCTTTTTCTTTGTTTTATTATTGTTCTGAAGAGGAGAGGAAAAAAGCAATAAAACAATCTGAACATTTAAATCCTATAATTAGTAACCCAATCATTTTGTTTTTTATTTCTATTGAGAAATTTTATTTTCAAATTGGTCCATTTTAATAATGGATTAATAAATAAAACTTACAATTTATATTCACAAATATAAAATTGTAATAACGGTTTCTCTAATAATTCAATTTAAGTTTGGAATTACAAAACACTTTTTAGATTGGATTTAAATGGTTATTCCTTTTTCATGGACTCTCCTGGTCCTCCGTAGAAAATCCAACATTCCTTCAGATAGAAATTAGCAGCTGGCTTCTCTAAATATCTCATTTTCTAAACATGATTTCTAATTCCTCCTGCGTGCTGAGGAGCTCATTTAGGACAGAAGAACAAGAAGCGCTCATGAATAAAGGAATGAGAATTAAAAAAAGGCTCCAATTGGAATCCGTTTACTTCAAACAGGTTATGACTGGATTGTGTCTTCAGTCGGTCTTTAGTAGTCTCCTGTCGGTGACTGCGACCCTTTTCCAAAACACAAAACTCTCCCAAACACTGGGAATGACCACCACTCTTTGTGGACTCCTAAGTCACTCTCAGCGGATCCATGGCAACCACTTGTTGAAGCTTCACTGCTTGTTGCCGGGTAATGTGATGTAGTGGAGCAGAAAATCCCTCCATTGACACGCTCTCCGCCTCCTCCTGCCCGCCCCATCCCTGCCCTCCCACTGACCGCTGCCAAAGCAGGCCCGCTTCATGGGATGCTCTGCATGAAATGCATTTCTTTGGATTTCCCCTGAGCTGCCGCGCCTCGGTATGGGGTAAAATAATTGTCGATAAAAATGTTTGTGTAGGTGTCTGAATGTAAGTCAAACACTGGGAGTAAAGGTAGGATTTGCTTCTTGTAATCAGTTCATCCATACATGTGACTCCAACTTTAAAAGTTTTACTCACAAATTTACTACTAAAATCACAACTTCCATCCCGATGAAGCCGTTCCACTCCTTACCAGATGGTGGCAGTAATGCACCCAAAGGTTCACCAACAGCCATTAAAGGAGAAGACGAAAATGAAACCAGGGATTGAACGTTAGACGCCTAAAGCCGGACGTACACTGTACGATTTTTTTGCCCTTTTCAGGCCGAAACGTTTGTCCAAATACGTCGTCTCCTTTTCTTTTTAGGGCTTTCAGCACAAAATCGCACAAATATCCAAGGCAGCGCGTTTCACTCTAGTTAGCTTCATATTCCTTTTCTACTGGTTTGGCTTCAGGATAGACGAGTCAGAGTAGCGCCATCTCACTGCGGAGCTGAGTCCCACCTGGTTTTTAGACGTACAGCGTGAGCAGGTAGATCGCATCAGAGCGTCGCAGTGTGAGAACAAAAACATCGTGAGCTGGGAACTTTTAAACTCTGCGATTTCATCGTACAGTGTGAGCTGTAGCTGCGTG